ACCGCCAACTGCCTGCCTAACTTCAACTATTGCAGCTCGTTTATGCTTCTGTGACAGACTAACAAAGTGCCCCATTCTGTCATGATGGCAACGAACTTGTTTCCGATGACAAAAACACAATGGCACCGGCAATGAATGTTCATTGTCTCAACCTCCACCGCACTTCATCTTCCGGGGGAACCCAACAGAACTCAGTAACCCTGGGCTTGGGTTCATGGGAAGTGGCCAGCTACCTCCAATGGAACCTACTCGCACTTGCCACCACTACTGCTTATTTTCTACTCTTTCCAACTGAATATTTTACGGTTCTACAAAATCGTATTCAGTATTCGTTTTCAAGAATAGTAGAAGCTTCAGAAATTTAGGCGCTATCGCAAGATACGGGGGTATTGTGGTGACAATGCATTTATACCGCGGTAACATCTCCTTTTTGTCAAAACGGGATAAGGACTCCAAGATGCATGAGCAAATTAGCAAATTTCATATCCCTCGAAATCCTAGCCCCTCCTAGTCTTAGGGAATGCCCCCCCCATCTTACGATAAGCGATATTATTTAAAATCCTATAATATATAATAACCAGATTAGTCCCCCGTCAACCGCCGGGACCTTCCTTTCCTGCGCAAGCTTTCTATCCTCCGCTATGGTCCCTTCCTCCTGTGACACCAACACCTGGTGGAAGTGACGCGTATGCAACACAATGGTGTTTCAACAGTAGAAGGGACACAATCATGATATGACGGTAGATTTTTCGCTTCCCTTCCTCATCCTCCCTTCCTCTCTCCACTGCCCTCCAGCTGCCACTGCAGCACCATGTGGAATGAACGGAAGTGTGCTAAGCAGGTGTTTATATAGCCCTAAGAGTGTTATCACAACTATCCTGCTACAAAACATTGATATCTCAAATCCTGTAAGCTACCCGATTTGTTAGCGGTTTGTTTATCCCATGAGCTTCCTTCTCACTCACTTCATTTTGCGGACGGACACACATACATACATCACACACACACACACACATACAGATACACAAACCGACACACAAAGTTAGCGCTTTATAAAATAGAAGGATAGGAAGGCTTAAAAACAGATCAACACAGATGAA